AAATTGGCAGTCGGACATCCCCGAGGTCCCAGATTAGAGAAGGTGCAGGCCAGGCTGAGGGCCACCAACCCCTCCTTCCCTCTGCATGAATTTTGTGCACCAGGCCACTAGTATACAGTAGGTAAATTGGAAGTAAGGATTCTGAGCTACATATTTATGTGAAAATTGTCAACATTTAGGTAGGAATTACTAGTAAACTTTCTGAAAATGAGTGATATCACTGAGGAAGAGAATGTTAAATGAAAAGACAAAAAGAAAGTGAGAAGAAGAATGCCAATGAGAGAATTTTAGGGAATACAATATTGAGGGGAAGGATGAGCAAGAGATTTCAATAAGAGCTACTAAGAATGAATGGTAGACAGTGGTAGAAGTGGACCAGGAGAGAGAGTCATCTAGGAAGCCAAAAGACAGTAACTTCAAAAGAAATGAAAAAGTCAACAATAGTGAATAGTGAATTTTAAAAATAATAATGAATGCTGCCGAGAGTTCAAGTAAGAGGAGTGCTAAAAACAATGTATTGTTTTAACAATAAGAAGGAAACTAGATTATTGCTATTTTTTAATAGCATGAGTATGAAAGCAACTAGTAGGTAAGTAGGAAAATAAATATTTGTCATTTTCCCATTTTTAAAAATGTTTTCTCTTCTTTTATGAGGAGCCTAGATGTAAAGAGAAAAAATAAAGTGTTAGAGCTGAGTATTATGGGATTGCATGAATACTTTTAAAAAATTATTCTTAAGGTGTAGGAGATTCTAATTCAATTTTAGCTTGAAAAAATACAGTTGGAATACTTCACAGTAAGAATATACTAGAGAGAGAGCAAATGAAATAACTGATAATCCAAAATGCCTGCTGAAGATTAAATATAATCCAACAAAAGACTCTGAAAACCTATTTTGGTTTAAGGAAAAAAATTATTGATAAATTCAAGTTTCACTTTTCCTTATTCATATTAATTACAATATTCTCCAATTTGTCTTAGGCTTTTAGCTTTATTTTCTCATCTCCAACATAACCCCTTCCTTGAAGAGTTATGGCATAAATCACATCTAATCAATTCAATAAAACTTTAATGCATACCTACTCAATATGAAGCCTTATTCGTGGGGTCCCTGAGCCTGGCATGAG